TCCCCAGAAGTTTATACACATTTCCCTTCATTTGTCACATAAATATTAGTTTTGAAATTGTTTTCTGTTAATAAAAATATGATTAATTGCTCAAAATAAATAATTCTAGATCTCTCTCTCTCTCTCTTATTCAGTTACCTTTACTCCCAATTGCTAATTGAATTTTGTCATTTGAATGATATATTTCATTAAAATTCAAATAAAAAGGCGTTAAAAAACATGTTAGGAATAGATGTTAACAAACCTTTTCTGTCATAACTTTATAACCCTATCTTCAAATCATTGCCTAAAAAGTTTTAAGAATACAATAGTTTATAACAATCTTATTATCGTTGAATGCTATAGTTTATAAAGTAATTAACAAGAAAGTTAGTTGATTGTTTTTATCATTATTAATATAATATTAATTTTTAATAAAACACAAGACGATTGTCTACTTACATTAATAATAAAAATCTTATCATTAATAAAAATATTCACTTACATTCACTTATATTTACTGTATTCAATATCGTTATGAAGATAATGAAAGTTATGAAAAGTTATGAGTTATGAGAAGTTATGAAAATAATTTAAAAATCAGTAAATATATTGCAAGAATATTTATAATTTTATTTCTTATTTTAGATGTAAAAATAGTTTACACGTTTAGAAAATGTAAAAATCAATCACAATTTGTTTTGTATAATCGGATTTCTCAAAATAAACCGAATTTTCAGAGATTTTAAGTACAAAAAATTTCGTTTTCAAATTGAAAGCCTAAAGCTTATCAATAAAAGAGTCAAATATCGTGTCGAGAATCAAAGTTAACATTCATTTTGTGGTCATTTATTTCTTGAGGAGATAATTATAGGCGGCGTACGGCGAGTAGGAATAGCCCGAGCTATAAGCGACGGGTGCGGCCACGTATGGCGCCGACACATAGCTTCTGACATACGGTGACGACACATACGATGACACGTACGGCGAGGAGACATACGGCGAGACATAGGACGACACGTACGGAGCGGCGTAAGCGCGCGACACAACCGGGTGTGAGGTGTAAGTGCGGGACACGACTGTCGGCGCCGCGTAATAGCTGTGAACGGGTTATACATATGGCGTGAATGAGTGTCCGAAACATTATAAACTCGCAATAATTACCCGGAATATCCCACATATGGGCTGAGGATACCAGCGCTCGCGCAAGCGATTAATCCAAAAACGATGAGTGCCTGAATTGAATCAATGCTTTTGTTAAATCAAACAAATTTAGAAAGAGTTAAACAAACTTACGACTGCTTTCATGTTTGAAAGATTTGCGTTAAGATTTGCTTTGCAAACAAATATGTGAATAGAAATGAGCAAAAAGTTGTAGTAATTGAATAAACGACTAAATGCTGTCTTTTATACAATTGTGTGGTGAAGGACAGACAATTCCTTCGCAGCCTATAGTGATGTCCATTTAGAGAGTATTAACTATACTCTCTTCGTTGAGATACAACACCCATCCCAT